GTGCCGTGCCTGCTGTGCCATGGACGGCCGTCACGAATAGTGGCCGTGGTGAGAGACCACCCCCTGCGCACCCCCTATGGTGCCGAGAACATGCCATGCCTGCTGTGCCATGGGCGAGCGTCACGGATAGCGGCCGCGGTGATAGACCACCCACTGCGCACCCCCTACGGCGTCGAGAAGATACCGCGCCTGCTGTGCCCTGGACGACCGTCACGGATTGCGGCCGCGGTGAGAGACCACCCCCTGCGCACCACCTATGGCGTCGAGAATATACCATGCCTGGTGCGCCATGGACGACCGTCACGGTTAGCGGCCGCGGTGGGAGACCTTCCTTTGCGCACCCCCGTATGGTGTCGAGAAAATGCCACGCCTCCTGTGCCATGGACGACCGTCACGGGTAGCGACAGCGGTGAGGGACCACCCACAGCGCACCCCTTCTGGTGTAGAGAATGTGCCGTGCTTGCTGTGCCATGGACGACCGTCACGGATAGCGGCCGCGGTGAGAGACCACCCTTTGCGCACCCCCTACGATGTCGAGAATATGCCATGCCTGCTGTGCCATGGGCGGCCGCCGCGGATAGCGACCGCGGTGAGGGACCACCCCCTGCACATCCCGTGTGGTGTCGAGAATATGCCTTGCCTGCTGTGCCGTGCACGACCGTGACGGATAGCGGCTGCGGTGAGAAACCACCCACTGCGCACCCATTATGGTGTCGAGAACATGCCATGCCTGCTGCGCCATGGACGGCCGTCACGGATAGCGGCCGCGGTGAGAGACCACCCCCTTGCGACCCCCTTTTTGTGGTGTCGAGAAAATGCCATGCTTGCTGTGCCCTGGACGACCGTCACGGATAGCGGCCACGGTGAGAGACCACCCCCTGCGCACCCGTATGGTGTCGAGATTATGCCATGCCTGTTGTGCCCTTGACGACCGTCACGTATAGCGTATCCCTCGTGTGGTGTCGAGAATATGCCATGCCTGCTGCGCCATGGACGACCGTCACGGATAGCGGCCGCGGTGAAAAACCACCCCCTGCACACCCTTTTCATGGTGTCGAGATTATGCCATGCCTGCTGCGCCATGGACGACCGTCACGGATAGCGGCCGCGGTGGGAGACCACCCCCTGCCACCCGTTTTTCCATGGTGTCGGGCAAATGCCATGTTTGCTGCGCCCTGGACGACCGTCACGGATAGCGGCCACGGTGAGAGACCATTCCCTGCGCACCTCCTTTGGTGTCGAGAATATGCCATGCCTGCTGCGCCATGGACGACCGTCACGGATAGCGGCCGAGGTGAAAGACCCCCCGTGCACACCTTTTCTATGGTGTCGGGAATATGCCATGCCTGCTGCGCCATGGACGACCGTCACGGATAGCTGCCGCGGTGAGAGACCACCCCCTGCCACCCCCCTTTTTTCCATGGTGTCGGGAAAATGCCATGCTTGCTGTGCCCTGGACGACCGTCACGGATAGCGGCCACGGTGTGAGACCACCCCTTGCGCACCCGTATGGTGTCGAGATTCTGCCATGCCTGTTTTGCCATGGACGACCGTCACGGATAGCGGCCGCGGTGAGAGACCATTCCCTGCGCACCCCCTTATGATGTCGAGAATACGCCACGCCTGCCACGCTTTGCGGGCCCGCAAGGCAGGTGAGGGAGCTTCGCGGGTGAGTTGTGCTGTGCTGAGATGAGCTGTGCTGTGCTGAGATGAGCTGAGCTGAGCTGTGCTGGACGGTTATGAGCTGTGTTGTGCTGTGCTGTTTACGTGTTGTGCGTCAATGTGCTGAATGGTGTGCTCAGCTGTGCTGTACTGCGCTGCGCTGTGCTGCGCTGCGCTGTGTGAGAAAGAGAAGGAGGGGGAGGTGTGTGTGTGTGTTTTTGTGTGTGCGTGTGTGTGTGTGTGCTTGTGTGTGTGTTTGTTTTTTGTGTATGTGTGTGTGTGTGTGTGTGCCTGCGTGTGTCTGTGTGTGTGTGTGTGTGTCTGTGTGTGTCTGTGTGTGTGTGTGTGTGTGTGTGTGTCTGTGTGTGTGCGTGCGTGCGTGCGTGCGTGCGTGCGTGCGCGTGTGTGTGTGTGTGTGTGTGTGTGTTGGGAGACGCGGGTGCGACGCGGCAGGGATGAAAACCAGAACTGTGCTGTGCTGTGCTGTGCTGATCTGTGCTGTGCTGTGCTGCGCTACGCTGTGCTGTGCTGTGCTGTGTGAGAAGGAGAGGGAGGAGGAGGGGTGAGGAGGAGACGCGGGTGCGATGCGGGAAGGACGAAAACCCACACCCCACTAAGCATGTGGGGAAAAACACAGACACAATTAATCGCCGACTTCCTGGAACATATGGGGAAATATGGGAGTTTGGGGGGACTGCGACACTTCAGAAAATATGGGAAATCCCGGGGTTTGCGTGTATCTATTTGTGTGTCCCTGGGCCCCCTCAGTAGAGGCCTCTCGGCTTGAGGAGGCGCCGAATCGACTACACCTTAGGCCTCCCAGATGGGGTCCGAGCAGATGGCGTCGGAGGATCGCGACCTAGCGCCGATGCATCGCCGATGCTGCGATGCATCGGCGACGCCGGCGCGGAGAATGCGGGCCGCTGCTGCGTCGCCAGCGGCGACTCGACCGGAGGAGGCGCCGAGTCGAGGACCGTCGGACCGAGGCATCAGGTCGAGGTCGGTTCGGGGAGGGCAGGTACCCGAATGTGCTTCGCGCCTGGCGTCTGTCCCCGCCTCGGCTGGTCCTGCCCCACCTGTAGGCCTGTAGGCCTCCCGGATGGGGTCCGAGCAGATGGGGTCGGAGGATCGTGCCGCATCGCCGATGCGTCCGCGATGCGGCTCGATGCGGGGCCCGTGTTTCTCCGCGCCGGCGCCGCCGATGCATCGCCGACGCATCGCCCATGCATCAGCGATGCATTGTCGATGCGACGCGATCCTCTGACCCCATTTGCTCGGACCCCATCGAGGAGGCCTCCAGAGGAATCGACTACACGCAAGAGTGACCCTTCGCCGGAGTGACCTTTCGTGCGGGCCCACGGGTGACTGCTTCCCGATCGCTGAGCGAGATGCGGCAGCAGCCGCTGGCGCGCTTGGTTTTGGCCCCTTCGCACCCCCCCCCTGAAGCCGCGCACCAAAGCTGTCTTGCCTAACGTGACTCTTGCATGTAGCCGACCGATGTCAGGGCCAACGTTAGGAGGGGGGGTAAGGTTCAGAGTGGAATGCATGGGCCGCCAATCTGCCGTTGATCGCCGATAATGGGCTCGATGGCCCACCCAGCCTGGGAACGTTCGGTTTCGCTGTCGCTGTCGGGATACCATCGCCGACCTATCTGCGAGGTACCGCGGACTGCAGCTCGTTGTTTCGCCCCTTAGCTGGTCCCACCCTTTTTCTAGGCCTCCCAGATGGGGTCTGAGTAGACTCTGTCGGAGGATGGATTGCTCCGCATCGACGATGCATCTTCGATGCATCGACGATGCATCTTCGATGCATCGGCGATGCGGCTCGATGTGGAGCCCGAATTTTCTCTACACCAACGTCGCCGATGTATCGCCGACGTCGCTGGTGCAATCCTCCGACGCCATCCACTCGGACCCCATCTAAGAGACTTCTACTTTCGTTACCCGTTTCGGAGGATGGTGCGGAAGTTGTGGTCGGCTGACCGCGTCACTGCCGGCAGCACGCGTGATCCGACCGCAGCTATTACAGACCGCGCCGTGCGCGTGTCATCGCACTGTAGTTTTGCCGCCGACCACAGGAACTCAGGCAGACGATCCCGCCCAGGACGGGAGGCGGTTTTCCGACCTGATGTGGGCGGGGGCCCGCGCGGATTTCTCGGGGGGGCGCCGGAGCCCCCCTGGCGGGACCTCCGAACGTTTTGTGCTCGTGCCATTCGTGGTCTGTTCCCCGAGGGCTGGCTTCTCAATCGGAGTTTCCTAGCCTCCTCCTCCTCCTCCTCCTCCTCCTCCTCCTCCTCCTCCTCCTCCTCCTCCTCCTCCTCCTCCTCCTCCTGGTGGGGGGCGGTCTTCGGTGCGTCGAGGCGACCCCATGGGGCTGCTGGCGGGGGGCCTTGGGGGCTGTCCTGGGCTGCGTCTTGGGAGCCATCTTGGCACGGGGGTGTTGGCCCGTCCTGCGGTTGGCTGGGAGCCTTCGGGGCGCCTCGTAGGCCTCCATGGCGGCGTCAAGGGAGGCTGGCAGGCCGTCTAGAGATTGACTGGTGGCAAGTGTATTCCCTCCAGGGTGACAAGCGACACATGTGTGATTCAAGCGGATCTCGGTTTCAATGTGGTTCAGATCCCCGCTTGGAGGATTTTCTGGGGGCTCCTTGGAGGATACTTGGGGCCTGCTGGGCTGACTCCTCTTTTCTTCACCTCCGCTGCATCTGTCTGCTCTTGTTGGGTAGTCCTGGGTTGTCGCCTTTGCCCCTCATCCGTTCCTATTCCTCGCCCCTCCTTCTCCTCCTCCCCCGCACCCCGTGGAGTCCGAGGAGGAGGAGGGGTGGGGGGCTCGCTCATCCTCGCGCCATGCCCCTCCTCCTTCGCACTCTCCTCCCGCCCTCGCATTCTCCTCCGCACCCTCCCCCTGGAGGTGGTTTTCGGGCCAGAGCTCGGACCTGCGGCGGCAGACATTTGGGACGATCCTGGCACCTCTGGAACGCCGTCGACGAGGCGTATAGCTTCTGAAGGGCACCCCGAGACTGGAATGCCTCGAACGCCTCCAGGAGCCGACGGAGACGTAGACTCCCGAAGACCTCGAGGCGTTGAGCTCCGAGTCCCGAGATGCGGGCCCAGGGGCGGGCGCGCGGGAGGGGCCCAGGGAGGAGGAATGGGAGGAGGAATGGGAGGAGGAGGAGGAGGAGGAGGAGGAGGAGGAGGAGGAGGAGGATGGAGGAGGAGGAGAGGAGCAGGAGGAGCAGGAGGGAGGAGGAGGAGGAGGAGGATGAGGAGGAGGGGAGGAGGAGGGAGGGGGCCGAGGGAGGGGCCGCGGCCGCGGGGGGGTCCGCCGCGGCCATCCGCGAGGGGGCGAACGTACGCGGAGGACCCAGGAGGGGGCAAGGGCCAACGAGGCACCAGGTGCAGTCGGCGGGCGCCTCGGCTCGCCGACCCACCTCTCTCTCGGCCGGCCTCGGAGGGGGGGGATGCTGAGACCTCGGCGGGCCGGCCCCTCCCACCTCCTCCTCCTCCTCCTCCTCCTCCTCCTCCTCCTCCTCCTCCTCGTCCTCGTCCTCCTCCTCCTCCTCCTCCTCGTCGTCCTCCGCCCCTCCTGCTCCTCCTCCTCCTCCTCTCTCCTCCTCTCCCCTCCTCCTCCCCCCTCCTCCTCCTCCTCCTCCCTCCTCCTCCTCCCTCCTCCTCCTCCTCCTACCTCCCTCCTCCCCCTCCTCCTCCCCCCTCCTCCTCCTCCTCCTCTCACTCCTCCTCCCTCCTCCTCCTCCTCCTCCTCCTCCTCCTCCCCCTCCTCCTCCCCCTCCCCCTCCTCCTCCTCCTCCTCCTCCTCCTCCTCCTTCTCCTCCCATTCCTCCTCCCTGGGCCCCTCCCTCCCTCCAGCGACCCTGTCTACAAGTACACTTAGGTCGGGCCTGTGCCTCTACAGGAGGAGTATTTCAACATAGTCGAAAATGTTATGTTTGACTATTTTTCTTGTTTTTCGTCCAAAATCGGCCTGTAGGGAGACATGCCCGACCTAATACGAGTACACATCATATGAGTACTGCTCTCCTCTCTCCCCTGGCTCTGTTCGGGGAGTGTCCCGTCCTCTCCGCGTCTTGTTATTTTGGCACAGGATTTCATGATCTGGTGCTTCCTGTGTGCTTTTCCGTTCCGGTCGTTTCTGGGTCTTCAACATGGTGCGCCCGTTGGAGCGCCGCCCTCATTTCTGCGCTTCCGTCACTCAAAATCGTGCTCCCGCTGCAGGGATGGCCTCCTTTCCGCGCCTCCTGACGGCATTTGGCATTCCCCTGACCTCCCAGGAGGGCTAAAAAATAGCACCCGACCTAAAAACCTATCCCAGAGCTATTCTACGTCTTGGTTTTAGGCTGTTTCGCTCAGTTTTTTTGGTTTTGAGGCCTCCAGTGCTAACAAGTTGCTCTCTGGAAGGTCAGGGTCGAAAGCGCCCACATCGGGCAGGCACGGTTGCGGAGGACACGGAGCCGGCATTCCTGGCAGGCCTTGTCCTCTCGTAGACGGGCCGCGTACCCTCCCAAGTCATCCAGTGCCATGTCACGGCATGCAGTGCAATGCGATGTTGTGTTGTGCACCGCTGTGTGATGCCATGCTTGGCGTTGCTCTGCTTTGTGATGCAATGCTTCACTACGCAATGCCATGTTCGGCCGTGCTCTTCTACGCTATTCTTTCCCATCCATCGCGTACCCTCTTGGGATCATTGCCCTGGTCGATATCCGACTGCGCGAATAGATCGGAGATCTACGCCATGGAAAGGGATGTGAGGGAGAGGTAGGACGTCAGATGTGACGCTAGCGCACCTAGCTTGCCCTCCCTCCCTCCCTCTCTCCCTCCCTTCCTTCCTCTCTCCCTCCCTCTCTCCCTCCTGCCCTTCCTCCCTCCTCCCCTCCCTCCCTCCCCTCCCCTCACTCCCCTCCCTCCGCCCTTCCTCTATCCTCCCTTTCTCCCTCCCTCCCTTCCCTCCCTCCCTTCCCTCCCTCCCTTCCCTCCCTCCCTTCCCTCCCTCCTGCCCTTCCTCCTTCCTCCTCTCTCCCTCCCCGCCGCCGCCGCCGCTGACGGTGTCGCCGTCGTCGGCGTCGCCATGGGCGTCGTTGTGGGCGATCTGAACCCCCGAATAATTGTCCCGGGGAGGAGGGGGGGGTCCAGACCCCCCGGATCTTTGCGGGGGGCGGGGGGTGGGGGAGGGTTGGGGGCAAGCTAGGTGCGTTCGCGTCATATCTGACATCCTACCCCTCCCTCCCATCCCTTACCATGGTGCAGATCCCCTCTCTACTCGCACAGTCGGATGTCGAGCAGGGGGAGGGGGGCTGGTTTCTGACCCCTCCTCTTCGGACTCTGCTGTGGTGTGAGGGACTGAGGGCCCTCTGCTTTCGGACCCCCCTTCGAGAACCTGTTCTCAGGCCAGCGACGGTGGATCGCGCGCCCTCAGATGCGCACATCCTTGTGCCATCACTACTAGACGTCGTCACGACGACATGCTTTATGTACAGCCTCGGTCGCGTCACTCGCAAGCAACAAGAGGCCGCCACCGCGGAAGGTTCTGATGCTTCAAAAGTGTGCGTAGCTCATGCTGCTGGGAGGGTGGTCCCTCATTTGTAGCGTCAGGTTCAGCCTCTGGACCTTGGCCAGAGCATCTCCTGCGGAGCGGATGCGGGACACAGGAGAGCAACTCGAGCGAGGTCGGAGTTGTGTGGACGGGGGTTCATCTACCGCCTTGAGGAGGACAACGAGGAGGACGAGTGGTGATAATCGAGAGGACGAGGCGCGGGTAGAGGAATCGCCAGAGGAGGATGCGGAGGAGGATTAAGCAGGGGCCAGCAGCATCTTTGACGGCGCAGCCATCGGCCGGGACGATTGTGAACATCATTGCAATCATCATCTTCTCACCACGGGTGGTATGCTAGGCGATGGCCCCTTCTCGTTCCTTGCGCCGGCGCTCGCAGGGGTCCGTCGCAGAAGATGACCAAGGAGCAGATGATGACGCGGGCTTCACGGACCCGGACCCATCTTGGGCCGACGATTTCTGAATTTGGGCAGCTCGCGCTGCCATTTAGCTATGTGCGCCTCGGTCGCCCTGTCTTCGGCGCCATGCGGCGGCAAACTATGGGAGCCTGGTATAACCTGTCAATTCCGTCTTCCGCGCCGACTAGCGCCGATTAGCGTCTGGAGTCGATGCAATAGCGCTGACTTAGCGTCGATTTAGCGTCGGTTATAGCGTCGGTTAGCGTCGATTTAGCGTCGACCAGCGTCGATTCGCAAGAGCTGGCAAGATGCAACACCGTAGAAAGTACGACTGGCGGCGCCCTCGACCCCATGTTCCGCGAGGGCCGCCGTGATCCGAAATCGGGCAAGCACGCCCGGTGTGCAGGAAAAATGCCTCGTCCAGATCTCCTGCGGGCGACGGCGCCAGAATGGGGTCCACTCTGGGCTCCTGCGGGGCCCTGGCTTCTGGTCCCCTCCTCAGATCTGGGTCGGAGGACCGTCGTTCCTTCGCTCTGCTCGTGATACCAGATAATTGATCCGACCGCTAGTCGCTCGCCGGATTATGTTCTCCAGGCGCCGCTTGGTGCCATTCGTGTTTTCTCTGCAGGAACTCGCTCTGCGGTTCGCAGCGGCTTTGGGCCGTGGCAGACACTCCTAAGCTAGAGACAACGACTCGCTTTCATCCCTTGCTCGCCCACAAGAGACCTCTTCTCTTCGAGGCCGAATCATCAGGGGTAACTCGGGTCAGGTTTAACTCGGGTTCCTTTTTCGGGAATCCAAACCCGAGTTACCCCGGACCCGAGTTACCCAGGATAATTCGGGCGTCCAGAGCCCCACATCATCAGGGCTAACTCGGGCTCCTTTTTTTCGGGAATCCAAAAACCCGAGTTACCCCAGGCCCGAGCTACCTTGGATACTTCGGGCGCCCAATCTTCTCGTCGAGGCCGAGGCGGGGTCACAGAGAGGCCCCCCCGTGCGGGAGGCTCCCATGAGCTGCCGCCCAAGGCGCCACGCGCAGGCGCTCCGGTCGGCGGCGGCGGCGGCGGCGGCTCGCGCAGGCTGGCCCCGAGCCCGACGCGCACCCTCTCGCGCGAAGAGCGGTGGGCCTGTCCTCCACCACCACCACCAGAAGCAGGAGGGGGAGGGGGTCCTCCTCCTCCTCCTCCTCCTCCTCCTCCTCCTCCTCCTCCTCCTCCTCCTCCTCCACCTCCTTCCCCGCTCCAGCTTGTGGTGTTGGTGGTGGAAGAAGCAGGCCCATCCAAGAGGGTGGCCTGGAGGCCGGAGCCTCCGGCGCGGGGGCGAGCTGTCCGGTGCTTTTCCTCGGCGGGCTCCAGGTGACCCCGCCGCCTGCGGTGTGACGCTTCCGGCGGCCACGTAGACCCTCAAGTCGGGCCGAACGAAAGGGGGATAGGGAAAGGGGGGGGGGTACGAAATCTGCTGCGTGCAGCTGGTTTCGGCCCCGCCGCCGGGCCCATTTCTCGATACATGGGCGCCTCCTGGCGCCGGGAGGCGCCGGGAAAATCAGCTACGTGAGTTGATTCTCAAATCCCCCTTTGCTATCCCCCCATTTCGCCCAGCCCGACTCAAGTCGGGCCAGCCCCTCTGCAGGAGGAATATCGAGAAACAGTTCCACAACAGTCAGGGGGCGATCTCTTTTTGCTCTTCTTGGCTATGTTTGCGTAGGATCCGGAGTTTGATAGACCGCCTACCCCGACACGTCGATTAGCGAATTGGCCGTGTTCGGTTCGCGAGAGGGCGTCGCGGCCGTCAGTCTTGCGGGCCCAGGTCCGTCGGCTTCGGTCCCAGGCCGTTTTCACTGAAGGGCGGTTTACTAAAGGGGAGGTTTTTGCCCACCGCCGAAAAATCCGCCTGTGGGAGGACATGCCCGACCTAACCCTGACCTTCCAGAGAGCTATTTTTTAGCACTGGAGGCCTAACAACCTAAACAACTGAACGAAACATCCTAAAACCAAGACGCAGAATAGCTTTGGGATAGGTCTTTAAGTCGGGTGCTATTTTTTAGCCCTCCTGGAAGGTCAGGGAAGTATGCCCCAGCTTGCGGCCCGCGGGCTCCACGCCGACCGCGCGAGGGCACGGCAGGGGGGGGCGTTTGCGCCGGGCGGGAGCTCCACGAAGACCGGTCTCACTGCACTGCCTGGCTATAGCGCTTCGCCCGCGTGCGCAGCCAGGCGGGAGATCCAGTTATCCGGCGTCAAAAGGCTCGAAGCTTCGTGAACCGCTAGCCCCGCCTGTCGGGTAGAGCCAGGGCCCCAGGTAAGGGGGCCCGGCTCGTAGCAGGGCTCCAGAGCCCCTAAATGGGCCAGGCTGACTGAAAACCAGGCCTGCCGTAGCTGGTGTGTTTTTGCTCGAGTGACGGCAGTTCCAGTTCGTGGAACGGGGCGGGGGGGGCGTCCCCCAGTACACACCCCTAAACCAGCTCCCACTGAACCCAGTTCTGCCAACGCCCGAGCCTGGCCAATCGCCGCAGAAGGAGGGGGAGGGGGATGGGGGATGGGGAGGAGGAGGAGGAGGAGGAGGAGGAGGAGGAGGAGGAGGAGGAGGAGGAGGAGGAGGAGGAGGAGGAGGAGGA